GCAAATCGATAAATAATAAAAACACTTCTTTGGAAAAAACTCTATTAAATGTACAAGCTTCTTACCAGCTACTTAAAACGAAAGCTAATGAAGCTAAAATTTTAGCTGAAAAAGAAAGACAAAAAATTTTAGACGAAAAGGAAGAAGCCAAGGCCGCTAGAACACGCCTTGAACAACAAGTAGAATATTTTGAAAATAAATTGAAAGAAGAGGAAGTTAATCATGAAAATATGATTCGAGACTTAGAAAGAGAAATGTTAAATCAAACTTTAATATCTGATAAAATGAAACAGTCAAAAGAAGATGAAATCCTTAAATTAAAAAATGAGATTTCAATTTTACAAAAGAAAATAAAAGAAAGCAATGAAAACAATGAAAATGAAAAAATAAAATACGCTGACATCATAAACGGCTTAGAATTAACCGTTCAAGAAAAGATAGATAAATGCCACCTTCTTGAGGATAATCTCAAGAAGTTTAATAATAAACAAATGAGTGATTTCGGCAATCAAACAAATTTGTTAGATAAAAAAATTAATTTGGAAGAAAAATCAACACAAACGAATTTTAGTAACTCAAAAGCAACCCAAAATGACATTGGTTTCTCATTTCATGGCAATAAAGCACATAAATATACAATGTATAAATTACCGGATCCCTCTGTCAATGTAAATGATAGATCTGACAATAATAATATGAAATCTGATTCGATCTCTACCCCAAGACACCTAAATGAAGTTCAAATAATGTCAGCCGCGGTTGAACCAAATATAGATGTTGTGAAAGATATATATATTAATTTTAAAATAAAAAGACTAGGTACCAGCAAGGTAGAGCAATGTTCAATCAACTTATCAAGAGAAAATAAAACACAAATTGATAATCAAGAAACTATAAGTTTAAGTAATGAGCTTTTAAGGCATTACGCTCCCGAGATAACTCCTGGCTATAAACCACTAATTCCCCAAAATAACAACATTGTTAGTATTTATAATACAACACTTAAAGCACCAAGTCCAATTGAAACAAAATCACACAATAAAACGTTTTGGAATTCTAAATCGCTGACCGGTTCAAATGAAAACATTAATATCGATCACATTGATGAAAGTGTAAATAAGGATAACGAAGTAAGAGAGACTAGTCCAGTAATTGACTCTCAAACAGATAAAGATTTCTTCGTTATTTATACAGACACAGAAAGCGTTTATGACTACCAAAGTGGAAATAAAAATGAATCACCACAATCCTGTAATTTACCATTTGACAATGAAACTGCTACTTCAATTGAACCTCTCAGCATTGCGTTAGCCGAAAGAAAAGATTTTAGACGCAAAAGTAATCTTATTCCAAAATATGAATACGAAGACAGAGATGACGACAGCATAAAACCAAGATTACATATAAAAATGCCAAGAGTAATGGGCGGCAGCCCTTCAACAATAACATCCATAGCTGATAAAAGATCACTAGATTCATATACAAAAGGTATATATTTGTCACCTACCCGAGCAGTATACTCAGACACGAATATTAGTAGTAGTAACAGTAATAACATTCACCAAGACCTATTGACCGTGAAAAGTAGATTGAAAGATGTCATTCTAAATAAAACTTCGACGAGCCCTGTTTTAAACGGACATGGCGAAAAGCAAATAAATAATAAGAAGAAAACAGACCGAAATACCAAGCAACGTTATGAAAAGAAACCCGAATTATCAGAGGAGGAATCACACCATAATTTAATTCGAAATAATGGTGAAGTTTTAAGCAAGACATTAAATAACCATTTACATAGACATGGTAACGATTTTAATGTTGAAAGTAATAAAGGTTTGCAATATATTTTAAATGCAGTGCAGAACGAATTTCAGTCTAATAATTTAGAACAATATAACAATAGCAGAGCATTACCTAAAAGTTACAGTGACCAACAAATTTACAATAGTAACTGTGTTAGTCCGGCTAAACAGTTAAGTTCAAACTTGTCATCTATTGAATATAGAACAATGTCAACTTTCAGTCCAAAGCTTTTTAAGTCAGTCAGAGATTATGGTACATTAGCAAAGCTAAGTACGGTAGAGGACTATGAAAATAAAATTCAACAACTTACGAAAACCTTAGAAAATATAGAAAAAGATTACAAGAAGAAAATCGATGCTGTTAAAATGCAATATGATTGTAATGTTAAAAGTATTATAAATGAACACAATCAAGGAGTTGCAAGCATTCAAAGTTTACACGAGGAAACGTTACACGACATTGTGAAGATTCATGAGAACGAAATTGAAAATTTAAGATCCATGAGTATAGAAGCAATGCGTAAAGCGGAGAAACTGGAAAAAGAAAACCAATCTCTTAAAATGAAACTAAAACTTCAATATCCAGAAAAAGTTGATGAGGTAATTAATCTATATATATAAAATTGAATCCCCTTTTCCCTTGGTCACGGCATGACGTGACATGATGATGAATGGCTGGACCGATTTTACTAATTCTTTTTTTATTGTGTTTGTTATTATAAGGAGAAGGTTCTTATGTAAGAAAAAATTACGAAAATTATTAGAAAAAAAATTAGAATATTTCACATCTTTATTAAAATAATGTGTCACTTGCAGCAATATTCACGTACATAGTTAGATTAAAGCATTATAATAATAAACACTTGGTTTTTGGAATAATTTTGATTTGTTAATCATAATAATGATTATTTTGATTTATTAATAATAATATTTTTTTAGGAACCAAAAATGTTAAGTCACGAAGGTAAAAGAAAGAAAAATAAAGCACGTATAGAGGAGAGATTGCTAACAAAAACTAATATAGAAGCATACAACGTAAGACCAAAACGTCGGTCTCACGGACCCTGCACTTGTTCTCTTGATATGAATATATCTGATACAATACGCAACATTTTCGAGCAAGTCGATGTTGAACAAAGAAAGAATGCGGAGCAAACATATTTAAGGTACATCGCTAATAAGATCTTGGGTGCCAATGTTGAGGTAAGAAATTTAAATGGTTGTTATTCACATTATCCTAAATATTACTTTTCCTTTTATACTTAACTAAAAAATCACTTTAATATTATTTTCACTAGTCTCTGGATGCTCAAGAATTATCATTTCTTCATCTAAAAGTTTGTCACACATGGAAAATGAAGTTAAATAAAGAAGAAGCTATTCAAAAAAAGATTGACTCTCTAGAAAACGAATTGATTAACAAACAACGACAAACACAAAAGCATAGTAAGTTTAATATAAAACTTATTTATAGTGTGTTAATATCAGTACCGACAAAACAATAACACTTAATAATATAAACAGTGGCTGAACTTGATCGTAAAGTAGCTGAGGAGTATAGACGGTTACAAGAGGTAAGGGAAGCCGTGTGCAAGACTCCTCCTGAAACGCGTGATGACAGTCCTATGGAGGAGTCAATTCAACGACCCTGTACTACCAGAAAAGAGATGTACGTACTTAATTATACGAAAATATACTACTAATTACCTACTTAGCCTTCCTTTACAATGATTGTCTTTGTTCTCATATATAGTTAGCAACTAAATAAACTTCACTATACTCTAGCCACATTCGATCAATTAGGGTTGATACAATCTTAATAAAAAACACTATTACAACTATGTTCATTATAACACAATTTCCTGTTTAAACACAAATAATTTAATTTAATATAGAATACAAAAAAATTATTTAGCCGGTCAATACATAATTTACATGAAATTTAGCTTAAAATAAAAATTTAAAAATCTTTTATTACCACTACAATATTACTACAAAACTAACAACCCTATATTTTAATACTGACGTTAAGAAATCGCAGGTTTGTAACATTTGGAGTGTTTTTTAATAATAAATATTGTATTTGTATTTATAATAAAAATATATACTAATACACTATACTAATAAACTACCATACCAACAGACGTTGCTTTTTCCAGTATTAGAGCAATTGTAATCTCAAACCTCCCATTGACCCATTAAAATTTACACAAAATTTAATCTAAATAAGTCCTACCGTTTGGGTGGCGATAGATAAAGTTAATAAAGCAAATTATACAACTACGAGGTAATTTCTGATATCATTTTAAAATTGGAGGTATTATTATTGAGATCTACATTATTCCAGAATATCATAAGTATTATAATTATATCTAAGAATGCGCTTAGTGTTTTGTCTTAAATATTTTATTATTAATCATCAAAATTAATTTTTATTAACATTAAAAATTATTGTTGTACATATTTCTAAAAATGTTTTGAGCATCTGCCTGACGTTGGTTGCTAAGCAACGCTTTGTTATTAAACATTCCACATCGAATTTGGCTGGAGTATAATTACATCGACTACCTTGAATTAATTAATTATTTTTCGTTTTAGGTGTAATTGCAATTCGGTTAGTTGCAATATAACCTTAGGAACCAGACGTTCTGCAGGGGACTTACAACCGCAAATGTCAAGACCAGGTTTAAAACTAAAACGTACAAAAATGGAAAGTAATAGGGTAAGGAGTTTATACAAAGTTTTTGCCGTTTATTCAACTTACAAAATAATGAACCTAACACGATTTTCGTTTACAGGCCGTGCTTGCTAAGTTGGACGCCGATGACGAAAGAGACAAAAAACTATTAAATGACGAAACTCCTACTAGACTGAAGCGCTCTCACGATCGTCAACATTTTCGCATTTACAGAAAAAGAGAAATGTAACAAGAGTAACTTAAAATATAATATTAATGTAAAAGCATTAATATGATAAAAAAATACACCGTTTACAAGAACCGGCGTCACTGTGGCTGTTGTGAAATTACAAATGATTTTTGATTTATTTTACAAGTGTTTTATAAATTATTTATATGTATTTATTTATGTGTATGGTGAGAAATTTATAATGGTATAAAATATTTAAAATTTTATTTCGTTTTATTGTTAACATAAGAAATTGTGATACATTAAAAACTATACACCTATATCCAAAAGATCATTTGGATTCACACATCGGGTTCCTATAAGTAACAATGGGTGGACTGTAGACAGCATTTTCAACATTGTAGCCAGCGGCTGCGGATGACTTTATGAAGTTCTGATATTCTCTTCTATCATACATGTCAATTAAAACTTTCCATATAAGAACAGTTGCCAAGCCAATCAACAGGACAGACCCAAGAACACTCCCACCAGCGACTGTAATGTTAAAGCATTATGCTATAGTATCAGTCAACGTTTGCCGCTGATATTTTAAATACAAAAATTTAAAATATCAAAAGATGAAAGATATATTTTTAATTAATAAAAAACTTACTCCACAAATTCACGTGAGATTTCATATCCAATTCGTTTTGGATGATAAGCAAAAGAGAGGATGTGGTAGTTGAATTTGGATAATGATACTTAAAAACCAATATACGTCCGTCATCAAGATATTTTCTGCACCACATCTTGGCCATGTACCAATCGGCTGAGTAAATTTCTGTTTTGTTCACTAATATAACTTCAGTGTCTGTGTGGTTAAATGTCTCATCACAAATCGTTTTATTTGCATTGTAATTACAATAAGCATATTCCTCTAATTCTTTGCATCTCTTTGCGGCCAGCTCCTCGCAATCATCACAAAATTTTCCGGAACATATATTATTGTTAGCCATAGGTTTGCATTTACATTCGCCACATACACAATCCCCGTTCCCTGAACATATCTGGAAGAAAGTAATGAAGTTAATATGGTATTTACATATTACAATTTGATAATTGTCCTTCAAAATATAAGTTAAAAGGCAAAAAAAAATTAATCTATCAAAAACAGTATAAAACTTGAAGAGAAAAAATATTAATTGATTTTAAATCAAAGTGAGGTAAAAAAATACAAAGAAATGCATGTGCATTGACACTCCGATTATAATGAAAACTTTTGTAATAATAGGACATTAATAGTTATTCCATACTCACTTCCTGGGAGTACGGTGCCATACAGTTATTTTCGGGACATTTACAACCTTCACCGGTCCAATGAGGTTCACAGATGCATCTTCCAAAACTGCAGTTACCGTGTCCTGCGCATATCAAACCCCCAGGACTTGGACATGCATTATCATTAAATTCACAGTAAGCTCCAGAAAACCCTTTTGGACATTCGCACTTTCCGCATCTAGAATTTCACAATATCTATAACTTTCTCAGTATAAAATTACCTATAAGGGACTAAAAGTGATAGTCTTTATTTAAATACCTGCAAGTACCAAACATACTACATGGGAAAATGTCATTCTTTGCTTTGCATTTATTTCGATCTCCCGTATCCAGTGAATTTCCGACACATTGACAAATATCGCCAGATCTGTATAAAAAGTATTACTTAATAAAATGAAACTTTGCATATTTAAAGCAATTTTAAATATATAGTTACCTATTTTCATTGCATTTACAAACTCCACATTGATAGGTTCCATTTTCGCTACATAATTTTGAATTTTCTTCACGATTTTTCGCTTTCTCGCATTCACATTCACAATCTATTTCAACCTCAATATTTAATTTTTCGTTTAAAGATAAAGGTCCAATCATAAGAGACTGGGTTACATCTTTGTTCTCTGGACAGGATCTGACAGTCAAAGTGCCTTTAATATTCAAAGTTTTATTATGCTCTACGTTACAGGCACCGCTGCTACAGTCAGGTTCATAATTTAATTCCATGACTGATGGAATATTATAAGCATCTAATGTTATAGTTCTGACTAATTCCTGTAAAAGAAAAATATATTATTTTATTATAATAAGATATAAAAAGTTATCTTCGTAATTTACTTACCAAATATTCCTTTTTTATCATATCGACAATTTTAGAACCAGTTTTTAATTCCACATATTTTGAACCCTGAATTTTCGTCTCTAAAGCTTTATAATCGCGCATGACCTTCTTTTCCACCGCAAATATAATTTTAAAATTATTTTTCGTTGCTATATTATTTATTTGACCAACGGATGGATAATCAAACTTCAAAGACATATCTCCATAAATATTTCCATCAAGATGACACTGCATGTCGTTCTTTAAGACCGCGCCCACAAATTTTCCGTCGCCTGCACTATGATATGTTGAATCGGTGCTAAGTACAATAATTCGTCTCGAATTTTCCCTCCAACCAATTTCCTTAATGCAGACCATTGCTTGCATCAGTGCATCGAAACCAGCCTCTGGATCATCATAATTACTTCCGAATGGGGTTCCGTTTATAGCTCTTTCAAATAATGTCATATTATCCGTCAACGACAAATGGTTTTTGAAAGAATATGACTCAGCCACAGAAATACTGAAATATTAAAAATATTAAGAATGCATATTTACTAAGTAAAACAGAAATGTTTGGAAATATATGACTTACTCAGCATACGGTAAAGCGGGTTTCTCGATAAAACTTCCTATACCCAAACGCACGTTATTAGTGAGTTTGTATAGCTCCTTATAAATCTTGTAACCCTGTTCCATTAATGTTGTGGCGTGGACTTGCATTGTTTTAGAATAATCCATGAGGTAATAAAGGTCTAATGGATAATCAGTAGCAGGTTTGTAAGACATCATGAAATCAACCGGTACACCAGGACGAACCTTTATTTTGATATTCTGTGGTCTAAATTGAATCGTTTTCGTTCCATCCTGTCCAGTATTAAAATTTTCGTCTGATACTATGTCTTTATTAAACTCTGGATCATAAACAGCTTCATCGCACCAGGTAGCGTTAGCAGGTAAAGTACTTTTGGACTGACATCTCCGTCCCGAATGATTTTTCTGTAAAGTTAAAGATTCTTATTATTTGTTCCTTAAAGGTTGTTTAAAACATAAATTTAATACTAACAGCCGCACACCAAACGCATCTATCAAACGCGTAACCAATACACCCGCCACAGGTATCAAAATTGTGGCAATTCGATTCACAAGATATTAATGTAAAACAACACAATACTAAAATTATTTGATACAAAAAATGCATTTTATTGTTCAATCTTATTTTACTACTATTAACTTGTAAATATGAAGTTAAGACTAATGGGTAATATGTATCAAGGAAAACACGAATCCATCATCCTTGACTGTATGTTTCTGACTGAATTATATCTATGTATAAAATGTTACTATTTCCTTAATGTTATAACAGGTAACCAAATTACATATTTCATTTATTTTTGAAAGAATATGTTTTTGTTTTAATAACATTTTGATAACGAGATCTAAGATTTTCGCGAGTACTCATTTAAATGAAACTAATATTTTCGGATTTACTACGCTTTTTTTTATTTTTGATTATTAAATACTTACTCCCAGCTTTTAAGTTAAGTTTCTGCTACTTTACAGCAACCGTGATCACCGGCACACGAGATGTGAGTGGCTGTCACTCGGTTTTGTTATTTTATCACCTACCGCCATCGATTTCTCAATCTTCTGGCGTACCGCTCTGGCTGCCGGCAGAATGCGCTTACGATGTCTCGAGGTCCTGCGGTATGGTCACGGAAAAAAAGGTACATATTTTAAATACTGATCAGTACAATTATATGGAAAAGCAATATTTATGAAAGTTAATAAAATGAAAAATAGCCTTATTTCGTATAAGGATTTTTAATTAAAAGAATATATTTTATACATACATATATTGTGGTTTTATTTTGTTAACACTTAATTAGTGTTGGAGATAACAATGGCTTTAAATAGATTTCAATGTTATTTTCCTTTAGTGGGCACTTTAATGTAATATGCGAATTAAAAATGGTACGTTCATTATTTTTGATGTATATACTACAACATTAATAAAAAGTACTTATAAGTACTTTTAATGAAATGCTAATTAATTTTATAACTCGATAAATAGATAGATAGATAGATATAGATTTGACGTTTATATCCACAACCAAAATTTATTTAGTTTTAAGAAATCCTTATTATACGCTGTAAGTGAGTAGTACATATATTAGTATGTTGTTACTATACGTTTATTTTTAAAAATTATTTTTATTGGCTTATAATTATTTATTTTGTTTTTATTGCCTGTGTTGTATTTATATGGCCTTAAACTTTATTAGTCTATGTTTGTGCTAGCTTAAGTTTTTAATAGTATTTAAGTTTTTAATATTACTTAAGAGCTTTGAATTTAATTTAACAGTGCTGTAAATGCCTGTAGTGGTTTATCACACTGCGCTGGTCCGTGTACTGTTATTACATAAGTGTTATTGTGAATATGCCGATGGTTTTTCAAATAAATAAATAACTCAACCGTAATAAAATTCGTCCATCCCATTTGGTCCAATACGAATAAAAATATCTTTATATATATAATTCTTCTGTGAGTGTTTATGTCACTGAACTTCTCTCAAACGACTGGACGGATTTTGATGAAATTTTTTGTGTGTGTCCAAGGGGATCTGGGAATGGTTTAGATTCACAATTTTGTTCGCTGGACAATGTTTTTTTAATAAATTTTTAATTTATTAGTAGTTGTTGATACAAACGTTTTTTTGACATTAGATTTGACAACTAACTAATATGTCAATCATTCTGTCGCACTTCAAAACAGGGAGATTTTTGGCTTTAATAGGTAAACTCCAAAAATATAAATAAAAAAACGTAACAGATATTTCTTGATTATAGGGCGATACGAAGTTCGCCGGGTCTTCTAGTGTACATATAATATTTAGCCATAATAAGATTAAAATTTCATTATTAAACAACCAAAATAAAAAGTGGGTGTTTTTTTTAATAACACTTTTTGTAAATTCTTTTTACTTTAACATACCAAACAAAATTATTAACACATAAACACTTGTGCCTCAGATTAAAAAGCTAATTTATTCTTTTATACATATATGTATTTCAAATTTTAAATGGGAAATTGGATAGATTTTTTTTTATGAAAACAATATATTTTTTAAATGCGATTATATTTTTCATGTTTTATATATCAATGATGAGTCTCTTATGAAGGCTTCATATGGCACTTTTATTTTCAATCAAATAGATTTTTGTTCTTGCTGTGTTCAATACTATTAACATTTTTTTACATAAAGGTTGTTATTTATTTTTTAACGAAATTTGTTTTTTAATCGACAAATTTTTATTACAATTTTATTAGAAATTTGGAATACTTTTTCATTTAATAAACGATTTTTATTTGCCTAATTTGAATTTACGAGTACTGGGTTATTTTGATTACATTTATATTTTGTACTAAAAACTTAATATGTATTTTATAGACAGCTTTATATGAAGTCCGATTAGTTTTAATTAAATATAGAATAATTTTCCTTAAATTATTAGTTTCCTCATTTGATCTGAAATGCTTAGTTTAACATGATCCATTATTTAATTCTGTTCAAAAAACTAGAAATATGCGAGTGATATTTTTTGCAACAATTTGTTTTATTTTACGATATTCGTCATCTATAGACCTGTGCAAGCAGCATAAAACCTGCCACGACTGCATTAGGGATGCCAATAAGTGCGTTTGGTGCGACACTGTGAGTATTATAGTTATTTTTAAATAGTTTTACACCTCGTTCATATTAGGTAAAAATAAATAATAAACGTCACTTTTTATAGCTTCAGGTATCTTTGCGTTAATTCATAAAAAGGTTTTTGTATGTACATAAGTCTTGAAAAGTAGGATCTCGATAAATCCATTCCTCCTTCCTCATACGTACATCAGAGGATTGAAATAGCTTGCCTGCGTCTGTGTTTCCTTTAAAACATTATTTGGCCGTCTTCAAGAAGAGTTAATATGATGTTATTGAGATAGTTCACAACTTACGATTTCATTTCCACCTTCTTAGGGGTGGAATAACAGTGAAACACTATCCACTTTACATTAAAAAACAAACCTATTCTCTCTGACTAAATATTGCACAAACATAAAATTTTAAATTAAATAATTATTTCCTTCTCGGTTTAGACAACATTCTCACTATACAGATTTAATTCCATTTAAAAAATACAATAAGAAAGAAAAAGAAGCTATAAACTTCATCACGGAATAATAAATATTATTTTTTTCAGCATAAATTTAATGACACCAAATGTAAATCGGCGGCAGAAGAATTGGAAAACTGGTGCCCAAACACTGTAATAAACCCAAAAAGTGTTGTTAAAGTCATTACAAATAATGATTTTTCATCAGAAAGGGGCAAAGTGATACATATGAAACCACAGAAGTTAAAAATAAATATCAGACCTGGAGATGCCATAGATTTTAATTTCTCTTTCAGAAAAGCTCAAAACTATCCAGTGGATTTATATTTCCTTTTAGACGGGTCAGCTTCAATGGCATCTGTTAAGAATGAAATTGTTAAGCAAACTGAAAGTATATATCAGATGATGAAAAGTATGACTGATAATGTTTATTTGGGAATGGGTTCTTTTGTAGACAAAAACTTGTTGCCATTCACTAAGTAAGTATGTTTATTTTCTTCACATTAAAGCTAGTATCAGCAAATTAATAAATATAAAACTTAAAAAAAAACACATTATATCAATAGAATTTTAATTGACAACAATTTACTGTTTCAGTGTACTAGACAGCACGAATACTTATTCATTCCGAAATAGATTAAAGCTTATTAATGATCCCGAGGCTTTTAAAAAAACCATTAATGATACGGCATTCGGTTATAATTATGATGAACAAGAGGGTACATTAGATGCTCTCGCACAAGTTATTGTATGTAAGGAACAAATCGGTTGGCGAGAAGAATCTAGAAAAATCATCTTAGTTTTCACTGGAGCATCGTTTCACGCGGCTAGTGACGGAATTTTTGGTGGTGTCGTTGAACCGTATGATGGCAAATGTTATCTAGAAAATGATGTATATACTAAAGAAACTGTAATGGACTACCCTTCAGTCGGTATTATCAATAAACTGGCATCGGAGGATGAAAAAATTATCATTTTTGCCATCGATGAAGAAGCAAAGAATATTTATAAATCACTTACGAACTTTATTACTGGCTCTAAAGTAACAAAATATGGAGGAGATTTAATTGCAAACATGCTTAAAACTGTTTATGAGGTAAATATTACTAATAATAAAAGTAAATATTCCATAAGATGAAATTATTGTGATTAAGTACACTAAAATAACATTCTTAAAGAATTTATGACCTATTTAATTTTCAGGAAATTTCTCAAAACTTAAAACTGAAAATAAACATGGACAATGAACATCGAAAGAATTTTGAATTTAATTTCACTCCAGATTGTTATAATGCTTATAGACAATATGAAGATTGCGAAGTAGTACAGTCCGAAGAGAAACATTTTACTGGGACCATAAAACTTCTGTCATACATTGAAACTGATAACGTTAAGATGGATATTGTTTTTGAGGGTATAAAGGAAAAAATTGAACTAGATATATCTATTATAAAACAATGTGACTGCAAAAGGGAAGATAATTCAACGTCCTGCAATTATCACGGTTCCTTATATTGTGGAATATGTGAATGTGAAGAAAATAGGTAAGTACAGTTATAACATATGTATGTATAAGATTAATAGTTAAATAATAGTAATATTTTTTATTTCATACATTCCAGATATTACGGTGATAGTTGTCAATGTCAAAATACAACAAGCGCCTTAAATCCAAGTGATGAAGCTACCTGCATCGCTCCCGGTAGTAACTCTACATGCCATAATCGTGGCTCTTGCAAGTGTGGAATGTGCAAGTGTAGGAATGGGTAAATTTAATTAGTTTATTTCAATATAAAATAACTAATAAATATCACAAGAGTTTGTAAAATTATTTCTGCATTGTGCATTTTTATTTTATTAAACACCAATTTTACAGATTTATGTGAGCGATTAGATTCACTAAAATTGCAATATGTAAATTAACGTATATATATTGCGTTATGATTGTCAAAGCTTAACAAATAAAAGATTTCCTTATTTCAGCAAAAATGTTTACTAAATCACTTAGGTAATTAAAGATTTTTATATCATTTCTTTTCAGATACAAAGGTAAATTCTGTGAATGCAGTGACCACAGTTGTGAGCGGGGCGCTGACAACCAGCTGTGTTCTGGTCCTCTGAGAGGTGTATGTGATTGTGGAAAGTGCATCTGTAAGAGTGGCTGGACTGGTTCGGTCTGCGATTGTTCCACTTCCAAAACGGAGTGCTTAAGTAATGACAAGGTAAGCATCGTGTAGACTTACCTATGTTGAACAATATTAGGGAAATACTCTTAGGAATCATCTTAGAAAGTCAGTGGTGGCCTAGTGGCTAAAAGGCCCGCCTCTCATGAATGAGGGCGCGGGTTCGATCCTGGCCCGGGCAAGTACCAATGTGATTTTTCCGAGTCATATGTACTTTCTAAAAGTATTTAGACATCACTGATTTGATGCATTCCCAAAGGGGGTTGATGTCAGGCAGGCGGCCGGTCGTAAAAACAATTAGCCAAAACTATTCACAACATGTTAGGCAGACCCTGGCTAAAGCTGGAAAATTGCCAGGTAGAAGAAGACTCTTAGGAATCATCACATAGATGATGATGATTATTATAATGATTTTTCTTTTGGTCATCTCTTCATATAGTACGAAAAAATCATCATGCTATTTTAACAATCTTTATTAATACAGCTTTACTAAATAATTAATTTATAGAACTAATTCATAACTCTAATTTTAGACATTATGCAACAATCGTGGTACTTGCATATGCGGTAGATGCAAATGCAACGATATATCCGATTGGGATGCTAGGACTAAGGAGCAACCAGACTGCCAACTCTCCTGTCCCCAAGATAACCAGGATCCTTCATCATGTCGCCACAGACAATGCATCAATATCGAGCCAACCGTTTTGTGTCACCTTAATAACGACGATTGCGAGCCTGTAGACAACTTAAATATCACAGTAATAAAGAATTTAACCACTATCCAATCGGAAGGAGATTGGTACCATTGCAGCAGAGTCATAGTTGATGTGGGATGCTATACTAAATTCCTGTACAGATATTCAAAAGACAAATATGGTATAGAAGTCGTTATGGACAAGAATGTTGATTGCATCGAAGCAAATTACAGTAAGTAAATAAATATCAAAATAAATATTACGACGTTATGCAATAGATAAATATTTGAGGTTCAGTGCAATTAAGTCAATTTAATTTTATAGAATATTATAAAATGAAATATACTAGATTTTAAACTGTGTCAGATATGATAAACAGTATAACAATATTTTTAAAAGATTTACAAAATTCTCTAATATTATAAATATTTAAATTTATGTATTCTTAATTGGCCTAACCGTATTTATTTGTATTCTTATTTTGTATTCAATAATAATTACCTATCAATTCCAGTATAGTCATAACTTGTAACATCAACATACACCTTTTAATATTTCATTCTTAAAAGTTAAGACGTGTTAGAATCGAATTAGAAATAAAAGGAATCCTCACAATTATGTAAAAAAAATTATAAATCAATATATTTAACAAAACTCATTCTTATTTTCAGTTCGAGGTTTCATATGCCTGTTTACTCTAATCTTCATCGGAGTGGGAACTCTGATCGCTTGGAAATATTGGACGGACCGAAGAGATCGTTTGGAATACGAACGATTGTTCCAACAAGTAAACGAAACTGAGACCCAGAACGACCTCTTCGTGCCACCGCTACATAGTTACAGAAACCCCTCGTATCAAGGACACTTATAATATAAAGATTAAACATATATCTTTATCGTTAATTCCCAATTAGCGAGACATTCAATTATATTTTTGAAATATACTTTGTTACCTTTATAATTAACAAAGGAAAACTTAAAACTTTTCCTGCAATATTGCATCTTGTCTTCCTTCCTTAACAAAATTAAATAATGCTAAAATAAATTTAGTATTAAGAAACCATTAAATGAAGTTTTATACGATCCGTTGTGTTGACAGCATAATTTAAAATAAAATAAATAAGTAAATTATATTTTAGTTTTTTTTTTAACAACAAACCGAATAACAACAAATATACCTAGGTTTGAATTAAAAATTCCATTTCATTATTTCACACTAAATACTAGGACATTTGTTAAAGGAGGAACGCTGAAATTGTGATACCAAAACTGACTCCATTTTATATTGTGAAAATATTCCAAATTTCTCCAACTTCCCGATAGATGGCGCTTTACCACAATAGGTATCACGTCATAAGGTCATAAAAAGTATATTTTGGGTACCTTTAGTGAGAAGCTGAAATTATTTACATAAATATTGCTTCAACTCTTCTACCACAAATTATAGGGTATTCCTAACAGAAATTTGGTACTTGGTAGAATGACAATAATTTTCTTTAGTAAATTATTATCCTTAACGAGTCTCTCGATATTTATCCCTATATTATGTGGTACTTCGTACTTAGTTACCTTAAATAATTGTTGTTTGAACTTTCCTGTCGATTCTGATTTTGGGACTATATAAGCACGCCCAGAATTACGTTAAGGAATGTGTGCTCTCATTAAAAATTAATTCTCCTAAATCCAACAAAGAGTCACGGTATATTTTAGGAAGAAGTTGACGGTTCAAGTATTTATAACAGTGTTTAAAATAACCATTGAAAATTTAAGCGATTTTTGTTTCTTTTCTCTTGATTCTAACTTGTTAGACGGATAATATACATCTTAATACATGTAAATAAGCTTCTCCAATTGTGTCATAATTTATCAGTCTGTTCAAAGAATTTATAATTGCATATATATAAATTTAAGATATTTTAATATTAAAAATATTATAATACATATCTTTAAATTTTTTAGTAATTTATTGATGTTTAAGAGATATCTTCTAGTTTTTATAATTAAAACAAAGTATAAAACAGCTGTTATATATTATTATAACAGCACTCGCAACATAATATTTATTTTTTCACAATTTATATTGTCATCCATGTTTATTCCTTATCCTGTTATTTTTATTATAGCAAAGTTGCAGTTCTATGTTTTAAATATTATTTTAACATTTCCTTAAAAAAAAAAGAAATTGCATTATATTTTTATGATCATAGGTAATTGTTTTTAACGATGTACTCTACAGCTATAATGTTAAGATACCATAGATTAGATAATAAGACTGAAGTTGTTGATTTTATTTAGACTGTTTGCAAACTTACACAAAAAGAAGATAATAAATACTTAAGTTAATATAATAATAAGTTAATATAACATATATCGTAATTAATATGTACTAAGAAAATATTGTAAAACACCAAAATAAGTTACTTATATTTTTAATCGGCACACATTTTCTAGACGTTGACTCCTTTATTCATCCCAAACCCCTATAGAGCTAACGTCCGTTTAGACGAAACATTTAAATACAGATATATTTTCATCCCTTCCGATAATAGCCATAGTAGTTAGAACAAGTAATTTTAAAATATTTTCCAGACCGCCCAGTTTCATTTAGGTAAATAGGTATTAAAACTCTTCCGACATCATCTAGACTTAAATGCGGTAATTCCGAGAATGTATGAAAAATCAAGGTTCTAAGTAAGAAAGTTCAATAAACGTTAATAACGTGATTTACTTATGGTCCAAATCTCATTTCCACGTATTTTCTATAAGATGATTCATCTCAATTCTCAGCTGCGAACACAGTGGGGTTGCCATTCGCTAGTCACAGTCTCAGCGCGACCGTGTCGAGCGACGCGCGTATTTCGACATTCGAATTTCGAACGCGTTCGTATCATTCACGTTAATTGTGTGCTGGTGATAGAATAATACATTTAATGATCACTAAATAATTTTTAAACAAAATGGCGTCTGTGTGGTTCATTGTGACAGTTCTTTTCTGTATAAATCAAGTATTAGCAAGTTACCGCGATTGCTCGAATTTGGATAATATTAAAAATTGCAATGAATGCATCCGTTGCGGAGCACATTGGTGCAATAATCCACATGAGGTAATTATTTTAATTTTATATTTTAATATTTATTTTTTGAGGGTAATTCAGTTTGGATTTTTTTTTATTTTTTGTACTCATGAGATAATATTATTTTATTATTTTGACTCAATTATTCTAAAGAAGTAAATTACGACAAAAATTAGACAAAAAATCACATAACACGGATTTTTCCGTTTATACAAACTGTTTCCAAACTATTTTTACATACGTAATTTTAATAAGCACGTATTATTATTTTAACGTTTATAACTATTACCCAAAATATTTATTGACATTCGAATATTAATAATCATAGAGCTCTTAAAATTTATATACATAGTTGGAGTAATATTTCACTTTAAAATATTTTTTTTCCACCGGCTGTATCCTCCTCCTATAAATACTGTGTGTACTCCTATAAATACTGCTATTATACAAATTTTATAATAATCGACGTAGTTTTTGGATGCGATTAGAAAAGTATATATTTTATTGTTGAAATATATTTAATTTTAATAAAGCTCTAACAAAGACGACAATAGTATTAGTTTTTTACAATAATACTAAAAATAAAAGCAAATAAACTCTCAATTTCCTCTATAACAATACCGCATCCAAATAAAATAAAATTAAAAAACCAAGTATATAGGTATAAAGGAAGATATAAATTAGTTTTCTACGAAGCCCATTGGCTACTTATTAAAGGTCTGATTGTGACTCGCATCAAGTAATTAAGTACTTGTATAAGTAAAATAAGAAATAAAACTTATAACGGATGAAACTTATTGAGCTAATAAGCGAATAATTCTATTTTTGATTCCCGACAACCATTAAGTTATTAGTAATTACACGTTATGATCATGAGTCGACCACTTGACCTATAGTAATATTCAATATTCTTTTAAACACTAGGTAATAATTCAATATTCTTTTAAACGGTAGGTAATATTGGTTTATATATATTTAAATATCTGAGAATTTTACCTCAGTTTCCTTCGTTTATATTATACGGTACTTCTGAACTCACGTATGTAAATAAAATCCGAAAGAATTTATTTTTGTTTATTCAATGATTGTACAGTTTTTTGTAAGAATCTCTTAGTATCAAAATATTTATGTGATAATTTTTTTTATGAAAAAAATGTAATTGTTAATGTATAGAGTAACTTCAGTTAGATGACGGTATATCAATAATATTTATGAATATTGTATAATAGCTGTAAATGGCTATAATTATTGAAATGATTTAAAAGTAATTAAATAAGTAGCTAGTTATATTTATTACGTTAATACATCATAGTTGCTCTTTGGACTTTCGTCAAACAGTCGTTAGTAACTGGATCCTTTGTAAAACTATTTACAACAATCACATAATACTTCCAGCCGTTTCAAACATTCAATTAGGTTTTAAAATAACAAAAATGAAATCAAAATTCCTTACTTTTATAACTCTATGTCTTTAGTTTCTTCGTAAGTCGACTATTTTTGTTCTCATACCAAGTTTTAACATCATTTCCTTATAAAATTATCTATATAATAAGATGAAAGTACATACACACGATGATTCAAAATAAACATAACAAAAATCAATATTAGTGAAGAAATCAAACAAATTGACCTGAATCATTCGTTTTGAGTGCTCTTACAAATATCAATACACTTGCTTTCAACAAATTCAAACTTATATTTCAGGTAATAAAATCTATTTTCCTGTGAATAGTTTTTCCAGTATGAACCTGCGCTAATTGCCCTTCGCTAATTAACTATAATTTTTACTCAACACATGTAACTGTTTGAAATTAGGATGTTACTTTGTCCGTTGGTAATGACGTTTAATAAAGTCAGGGTCAGTATCATTACTAGGAGTTTTCGTCGTCAAACTAAACAGGCAAATTCCAGTTTTGTATTCATACGCCTATATTAATACTATTACGACGAAAGATGTTTGTATCAGAAAGAGAAAACTTGTCGTGTGCAGTTTGATATCGCAAACTCGTGGTAAGCATATGATATTATGACTTGACTCAATGGCAGCTCATCGTTTGCATGGACTTGAAGACAATGACAAATTCAAGCTCTCTTATTTCCACTCAGAAATATTTAAACTTACTTCCTAACAATACATTTATGATCAGATTCTCTTATTTCCATTGGTTCAGAAATATTTAAACTTACTTCCTAACAATACATTTATGATCACTCTTCCAAATCTACTTGCCTGTAGAATTTCATAGCAAATCATATTTTTCTTATTTTATATAAGCTATAACCGTTCACCAATTTAGACAATCTATTGAAGTGCCGATGAAAATATAATCGATAGACAAATTTCCTGAGTAACCCCAATTTCCAATATCCGGCCCTTGAACGAGGCTGGGAGGAAATAATGGGAAACACTTGTAATTTACCAAAAATACTGCTAAAAGTCGAGCTATTACTGCAGAATGCACTCACTTTTATACACAATCAATTACACATATACACAACTATACATATACACAGATATAATTGTACACATTCCAGAAACGTACACAAGAATAATATTTGAGAGGCCTTTCAACTCGTATAAATAGGCAGTTAGTTGTCTTTTTACTGCACATTTCTGTCAGAGTCAACCCTTTCGAAGTCGCAAAGTGGAATTATGTGATTTAATTCCTTTAAGAATGCGATGATTCACAATAAACTGGCTCCATGACATCTTTATTCCACAATGCATTTATTTAGCATAGAATAATTGTATCGTATTATGTTAGACCAACTTCGACGTCTATCTCGTTTCGTATCTGAATATTAAAATCGTATAAATTATTAGACGTTTTAAATATTCACAACTCACGTGCTTTGTTAGGCATTTAACAACTAACAGTGTTTTATATCCAATGTTTTGTTTCTCTATATACATAGATATATTTCCTGATTATATTAACTCATTAGTCATGTAGTATACTCATAACTTGCGTCATTTGAGTACATTAAAATAAGTTTTCTCACAAATATTTGTAAAACTTTCATCACAATTAGCATCAATTTACAAACACAGCGTACAATGTAATCAACATCGTTCGTACTTCCAGTTAACAGTTAAATAATAAGCAACGTGTGCGGCGAAGTTATCCACAAACATCCGTAAAATCACACCATTACCAAGAAAACATAAAACCCGCTGACCTATATAAAGTCCTGTTTCATACATTAAAAACGTTAAATAATTTATATCTTTGCAATATGTGATACCAAGGCTGCATTCCCATTAAGCTGACAGCAAAACTAAATGCTCGTCGCTTAAATTTTAAACCGAAGAAAAAAAAGATTGGTAGTTAAATTTTAATAATTAAAGTAAATTACTTTTAACCCACACGTAAACGACAGTTGAGTATTTCAACAAGATATTTACATGAACTTTAAAGAATTACGACACGTAATATATCAGTGAAAAGTAATTGAGGATAATGGTCGGATCAGATGTGACTGATCACTGAGCATTGCACATTTAAGAATTGCACCAACACTATACATATTACCTATATAAGTATTTATAACACATATATCTATTAAAAAATTGATTATTACATAATAATTCTTCTTACGTAATTTTCTTTTTGATATTTTCCTTAATATAACTTCGAGTCAATCATATAATATGGAATTAGCAATCCGTTACTCAGAGGTGTAATATACTATTCGGGAAGCCAATGAAATCCGCTCCTTCAACCTGACTATACTTTAATAGTAATTTGAAACTAAAATGGCATTATATTCTAAGGATTCAGTTGCGTATTTTTTCTACTGTCTAGGTTCTTGACTGTTATAATCCGTAATGTAGCTATGAACTACCACAAGCTGCCTATACACTATATCTATTTTATGTAGTTGTCGTTTTAATTTCTTTATCCAAGGCATATAAAATATATTTCTTAAAGTTTCATTTACGTATTGTGGCGAACTTCCGAAATATTGGGTTTAAACGAGTTCAATCGATAATTTAAGAAAATTATTCAACATTTATTCTAAAAAAATAAACTGTAGGGACTCACAAATAGGATATACAAATCATTTATCTCTTTAATCATGTTGCGTCACCTTGTAATGTACGTCGATGCTCAGATTCAATATTGCCAATCAAAGAGAGCTAAGATAAACCAAGATTGACTGTTCAATTTGATAGCATCAAATCGTTGTTGAACTTTTTATTGATATAAAAAATTGATTCAAATGGCATTGACCGGCGGGGACCGGCCGTGACTTAAGTTGCCTATTTTACAATTACGCTCATTATAGTTACAACATTAAATTACTGTGTTCAATACCGTAGAAATAGTGTTAATATTTCCATTTATAATAACAAAACGCTATTTTTATTACTATCGAAGTCGAAAATACGCTTCCACAACAACATCAAGTCCAATTGAATCGTCACCATCAATGAAATCATTCGTAATTGCTTTTATTTTATATGTATTCAGTGTCACACATGTAAATATGTATTTCTTAAATGAGTACTGCATTCTATAAGTTAATTTATATCTACCATATGACATAAATGTCACAGTGTCGGCAATTAATCATGACAATATCCATCGTTCTACATACCCGTTAACATATAAAAACTGATAAATAATAATAATTAATCCGCAAAGTACTCTTGCGAAAGGTTCACCTTTAAGAGAATACAACGCAATATATTATACACTTAAGTGGAACAGTGGGTCTTATTAAGTGCACTGAAAAATATACTTGGCTTCTTTAGAGACTTAGCTCTAATTGTATATGGTATTTTCAATTGAATTCTTGCACATATTGCTTCCATATATTGAAAAATGAAAAGGATTATTTTTTATAAGTTAACGACGACAGATCTCCGAAAAAGTCCTTTAATAAATAGCCCTAAATTTAAATCGACACAAAGAATTGAAAATTTTCCATAATTACTATGAATGTTGGCTATAAATGTTGTCATTCCTAACAAAATAGAAGTAAAGAGATTTAGTTTTGAAACTGTAAATAATTGCTCCGTTTCCTATAATATTTGCTAACACATTTTCAACTGTCTGGAGTAAAGCCAATGTGATATGGATTTTTCCTCAGACATTTTACATGTCTGGTCTTAAGTTCATTGACCTCTCGTTTATTAGATAGTACATGTGGCGATATTATTTTCATATCATGCTGCTATTGCACTATAAATTTCACAAATTATTGCTTTTCAAACAGGTTATTAAATTCAACTCCTCGGATTCTCATTTTATTTAATATTTATTTCATAATATCACTATGATTATAATCTACTTACATATAGGGAAATTCTATCGTTTTCTATTTCATAACAATCTTCCAAGTTATCATAACCAGAAAATGATTATTTCGGAAATTATGAATCATTATTATTTTCGTATATTAATTAATTATTTGAATAGATTTGATACAGTTCTTATAATTATTATGTCAACTGTGTTATTACTGAGAAACTCATTTGATGCGGGTGATCTCATTATTTGGGTTAACAATGACTTCTTTGTCATGATACATGAAAACTGTTGTGACACTCAAAATAATTATACAACCTATTATTGTTATATCAATATTTAATTTTCGTGGTTTGTTTGTTTTCTTTTTTATTCAAATGAGCTACGTACAAGTCAACATTGTACAGCTTCAGTCTGTTAACCAAATAGAATTTGCTTATGTTACCCTTATTACTTTCTTATATGAGGCATCAATTTATTTACATACCATATATAGTATCAACTGAAAGTGATTTTACATTAGGGCTCAAAATGAAACAATGGGATTAACTTACACGCGTATAACGAGAGCGTTGGCGGAACAATGAAGATGTTGTATAAAAATAAAGAAGAAAAAAAATTACATCTCTTTGTATCTCATGAATGCTGAGATTTTAAATTACACCGAGGTTATACTTTTTATCTTTTAAAATATGCAAGGACACGTAAACATATCAAATATCATGTTTCATGCCATATTTAAACATTTTATTTACGACATATCACTAGAGTTAAAACAAAAAATCACATGTACAGCGCGCATAACACTACGAGTACATACTCGAATTCCGAGTACCGGTTTTATAAACTCCCTTACATTTTTATTTATATACAAACTGGTTGGTTTGACTAGGTGTCGCAATGACTCCCAGCATTAAATATAATATACATACTTACCACCCACTCGCGTAAACAGGCTTATTCTGGCTATGGATAGATTCGTGTAAATATCTTCAATTATATGGAGTTAATTTGAATATAATATAATACATAAAGGTATTTATTGTTATTAAAATACTTCAATGTCGGCTTTATACTGGTTATTTTATATTATATGTACAATTTGTTAGAAATAATATTACAAAAGTTTTACCGCAATTAAATAGTATGAATAATATATTTACTAATTAAAAATAGACTTCACAAAACAGTCATGGGAAATACCTATGCTACTAATAAATTAATTCCAACAAAAGTGACATCATTTCTATATCGAAAATTATAAATTTAAGCCGGAAATATTTAAATAATATCCAGAATAAGTAGTAGGGTATATAATCGACATGTCTACTATTATTGCCACACCCACACACCCCGCGAGGGTTTATTGCCCTTTTAACTGTTGCTTCATAACTAACTTACAAGTTTCTTCACGCCCGCTATATATAATTCACAAATCTTACGGTTTGATCTAATGATAGTGAATTATATTTTATACGTGAGGCAATATCTTATTGAAGCCAACAATGTTTTTATAATCAGTGCTGAGAAAAATTTGTAGTACTTTTCTTAGAGGTGTAAATTTTAAGAGAAAACCAAAGGAGAATACTTTTCAACATGATCCAAATCATTATATTTCCTCTAAAACCTCTGACTAATTGATCGTCTTTTAAATCCTAATCCGAGCATACGTACTTATTAAATTAATAGACCTTCCAGCATAAAAAAGCGGTAATCACTTTCGTTTGAAGTAGCCAAAACTTAAATCAAACTGAATAAACAATGTATTGTGTTTGTAAACGATCGTTTACTGTACAATTTATGATTATAACATATAATTAGAAATAAAGTTACAAAAATATTATTCTTAAAAAGTTATTTGTATGGATAAAATCTTAAAACAACATAACAAATCTTTATTTAGAGCCATTTTTAATCAGTCGTTCTCATTGAAAAGCACATCGATCTTCATTTCACAAAACCTTTACGAATTTATATTTTTAAATAACAACATTTATCATGAGTCTTCGCTTGATGGTTTCGAGATATTTCCATCGTCGTGTATTGTGAAGATTTTTGCTATAAATATGATCTCAACATTAAATCTTACTACTTCCACATACTAAATTAAATGTTAATTTTTTCTATACTTTCAAATAGTTGTGTATGAAAAAAATTATATTTGAGATAGGCATACAGAAGCATTTATACAAGCTTTGTATGTGAAGCCTATACTTATAAATAGTTTACACTTTATATTAAGATTCTTGTAACAAAGGCACATACATGCAACAAAAACTTTCGCCTTTTAAATCCTAGGGATTGTTAATAGTTTTCCAATAGATTTATTTTTTATGGTCCATATTACGATTCTCTAACAGCATTAGCTTGGATTATTCGTCCTTGTCCTATTATTCAACGAGGAGGCTTAATAGCAGACAAGTGGCGAGTACCAAGTACCTTTCACTTAGACCAGCAAACGAATTTTATTTACTCCTTGAGACCTCTACAACTGATAGACTATGTCAGATAGAGAATGTAATTATTGTATGTATGGTCGTATTATTGAAATAGTATCGTAATACTAATAGAAAGAATATATATGCAACTTTAACTTTGCACATATTTTCTTTGTTTTATATAAAAATCTGGTTAAAAACAAAGCATATGCATGCAATTCGTATGTGATATGTCTAGCATTATGTTTCGTACATTGTGTATTGCATAAATACACTACAACGGCGCCTCCTACACGGAAACAGATTTTAAATAAGTATAATATGTAGTTGTTATTGCATATATATGATAATAAAATTAATATTACAGATTTTTTCTTTTATTGATTATTTATTTTGTCTGTTCTTGTATAAAGAAATAATTTTAATTCTAATAATATAAACAGAAAATGAATATTTTTTTTACATTATAAACTATTTGTAAGGAATTTCAATTCAATATTTCATAAATAAGATAAAAAAAAATATTTAAAAAATGATCCTGTTATTGTAATAATATGAACACACTTGCCCTTTGCTTCTGTTTATATTACCTGTGGCGCCAACGATGATTTTATATGGAAATAAATTTTATGAAAGGTTTTGAATTAATGTGAAATTCGTAAACATGAATATATATTATCTCATGAATGACATCTACATTTTAAATTCGACACCTTTAAAATCATGCTTTCTATTGACTGCAATTGATTGTTATTAATTTAATATCGGCGTATTTTTTTACGCGTTTTTTGATGATAGAAAAATTCTAACACTTAGGAACATAAACACACACACACACACAAACACACACACACACACATATGTAGCATATTATTAAATGAGAAACGAGCAACGCTAAGTACGTAGTCTGAGAATGCAAACTTATCATAAGCACACATACAATGAAAAACCTTAATTACTTAACAAATACATTGTATTATTATTCCAAATACCATACATAAGGTAAAAAAACGGTACAAAAATATGTTCTTTAGAATCAATTATCTGTAATGTATACTGAATTAATAAGTATTGGCTCGTGTTGGCGCCAACGTCTACTTAACAATCAACGACAAACAACGTAAATATTAAATACCTTTAATTAAGTATAATAAAATATAACCATACAGCATTATTAGACATTGTTTTGCTAGTTTTATTAATATTTTTTATATAACTCATGTCCTTGTTTATTAAAACAGCGAAATACAGCAATTAGATACTCGTACATCTTTAGAAATCAAACTACAATAACTTCGATAAAATTGTATACAATTTGAAAAATATTTTTTTATGTTACATTATTTATATACACTTCCAGTAAGCAACTACTTTGTACACATAACGAGTCATAATCTAAAGGAGTGAAGTAGCAATTAAGGTCTCTGTAGGTAAATCTAGATACCAGTACAGCCATAAAAAGACATCCTATAAGCGCCTGGCCATGTTTGTTTCGATAGGTACAAGCACGTTAATTGGACACAAGACTAGACATTATTTTTTGCTCATTATGACGCTATATTCCTCTTTTCTATTGTATTTCATTAATTAATAAAGTTTTTATAGTTGTGAAATATTGCCGTCATTACAACTATATGAAAAGAAAGAAAGGTGCCTTACTATGTAAGGAATAATGTGGAAATAAAAATTATAATGTTTTTTAATTAAAAATATATTTATAACAAAACAACTCAACTAAGAAAATCAAATACGTATTTGGAATATCTGAGATAGTAACTTCGTATGTGTACTTATAAATTGAAGATGATAAAGTTAACCGGTTTGCGTATTATTTGTTTACAAATTATTCTATTTATAAAGAAAATGAGAAAATATTTAAGCATAGATGCTATTACATATTGAACGAGAATTAAATATTCTAATAAGAAAATATAGCTTATATTCTGAATGTATACAGATTTACATAGAATGATTAATTGGTGATGTTTGAATATAAATAACAAAGAGTGTTATTTTAATATTATATTTGATCATTTGTTACAGAACCGTCGCTGTTCGTTGGAGCGTTTTGACAATTGGTGTCCCAATCATCAGGAGAGCTTACCGTACCTCACTGAAGTTAGCGAAAAGGGAAAGATCTTGAATCCAAAGTACAGAGTCCAAACTATCCACGTGGGTCAAGAAGATGAGATTGAAATCATATACCAATACAAAACTGGTGAACCGAAGGTGTGTATGTTAATGAAGTGTTAAATTCTCTTCAATTACTTATATTTAGTCTTTATTTGATTCGACTGAAACTATATGGAGACAATAAATTACAACTTTATACCATCTCTTCAGTTAGCAATATTCTTACTTAATATATCATGAGAATAATTTCTAGTTTCCACATCAATTATATGGTATTATCCCATTTAAGAGCATTACCTAAGATGTTGATATTACCATGTTAAAAACTCATTTCATATAACTGTCACTAATTATACAAAACTACCGTCATTATAATTATACGTCATTGAAATTGTTGATGATATTACCGGTCAGACCGTAATAGGTGGTTGGACAAAGGGACAGCTTTTACGCATTTTATACAAATCTAACTAATCTCCATACATGGTAATGTATTTCATTCTATCTCTAGATAATTCTGTATTATCTTTGAAGAATAGAAAACTATTCCTTGATTTATTTTAATGGTTGAAGTATTTATAAGGTTTGACTTGAAATTTTAATTATTTTGTATGTCTTATTCTAATTAAATATGTCTTTCTCATGTGAACGTAAAGACCTTTGCTCAGCTTTAAGCCTATTTAAGTTCTCGTGATTCCACTAGTCTATCTTTATACTTTATATATTATTACCGTCCTTACTTATTAGATGGAAATAATACTTCATTGTGTGTCACGTTCTTTGTTGTCTTCATTATTCCAATATCATTTTAATTTAACCAACTATAAAATCTATAGAGTTGTAAATTTAAATCAGAGCCAATCGAATTCACATTGATTCAAAAACGGATAGTCCACTAAAGCTTTAAAATTAAGTACAAAATAACGTTATAAATAAATAAATAATAAGAAATTATTATCAATAAACTTAAACCTTAATAAGAAGAATATTTAATACGCGAAAAAAAACTTTTTAAAAAAATAAATAAAATTAAAGTTATTTTGTTCTTACAAGTATATACACTAAGTTATAAAGTTATTGAATATGTAGAAGAATAACATCCAAATATTTCCTAGGTCAATTTCGTAGCAAACTCGACGCAAAAATCGAATTTCATCGTTAGTAATTCAACAAGCTGTTCGTCTGGGTCGTGTACAACTACATTGAACACAGTACCAGGGTCGGACTTCTGCGAGAATACTGGAAGTACTAACGAGTTCTTTAACGTGAAACTGACGGTTAGCGATGTGGACGAAGAAGCTGTTCTGAAATTCCATGTACCTTGCGCTTGTGGTTGCACTGAAAAGGTTGAAAAACTGTCCCCTACTTGCAATGGCCGAGGCGACCTCTCGTGTGGTGTATGCACGTGTCAGGACAAATGGTAATTTATAGTCGTTTTTATTTCTACCCATTCATGTTAACATAAACCTCGTGATAATCTTATATAATGAAAGTAATATCCATTAAGTTTTGCGAAGTGTATTAAAATTAATTTTTAAGTGTGTGTTAATTAATTAATTATTATGATATAACCAAGTTATAAAGAACTTAAAAAAACTTTTAACATAAAATATTGACATATATTATTATATAATAGTTATAATTTGTGAATATATGTTATAATTTATCGCTAACATTAAGCAAAATAAATTTAATGTCGACATCACAATAACACAGCGTACTTCTGCGATTTCATCATAAGTTCTTTACAAACTTATCTACAAGTTCAGTTTTCTGCAGCAAAATAACTTACATTATTAATTAGGAATACAAAAAGATCTTTGTGCGTCTGTGAAGTTAATTATAGTATGAGAGCCCCACTTTCTTTGACGCGTCGGCATTTAAAGTGCCTCGTATTACACTTGACATCATTGCTCTGCACGTTTTAATTATATTAGTTATTTAAAAACCAATATATAATAATTGATTTTTAAGCATAAATTCACTTAAAAGCACTTATTTCTTGTTTTAATTTATTTTACACGACTTGCTAAATATTAGGAAATTGATACAATTTGAGATACAACCGTTGTATCCATTAAGTGTTCATAGATTAACGTTTTATCTGATTTACAACAACGTTCCATTACTATTTGACAAATGTATTGCAATAAATTATGGAAACACGAAATACTTTGATATCCATATTGTTTAGGTGCTAAAGATCAAAATCCCTTGTCGCTTTTGATGATTAATATATGATTTTACTCTACGTCTCTCTTAAAGGTCGGGTACTTTCTGTGATCAACCAATTTGTGATGAAAAACGCGGGGACGTACCATGTATAGATTCATCGAGGAGTAGTGTAAGTATTTAAAAGAAACACATTTTTTCTAAGTCGTAAATTTACCTATAAATAGCACAAACAAAACTGTTTGGAACTTATTTGTCACACTACTCATAATATGGATAAGTTGAAACGAAATGGCAGCAAAAAGTTAAATAAATCAAACCTCTTATTTAAGCGGTGACAAAAAAAATTACTCTAAAGGTGTATAAAAAATGAAATTTTGAAGAATTCAAGAAATGCATATAAAAAAAATTAAGTGCTTACAACTTGAGAAAGAGTGAGCGAGAGAGAAGATAACAAATAAAGTGTTATAATTAGGTATTTGTATGAAAATTATTTATAAAATAATAATTCAATAAGAATTTCGTTTACCAGGTTGAATGTTTCGGCAACGGTGTTTGCGGTCGGTGCGACAAATGCGAGTGTTTCACAAACAGACCCGGCTCTAGGTATTTTGATAGGAACGATTACTGCATTGACATTTGTACCAAAACAAATGAATGCGACGAATGCCTAATCAAACCACATCTAGGGAAATGCCACGAATGCCATTTTCCGTTATACAAACAGAAATACAATGAATCATTGACGAGCAGTAAGGACGAATATGGAAGACACATGTGGATAAAATGCAACGATACTATAAATGATTGTAATATTGAATATGTGGTGATGAGAGACGATAGAGGGGAATCTTACTTCATGGTGACTAAGAACTGTGATCCCAAACAGGAGGGCCAGGAGAGCGCTAAAGTTAATTGTAAGTATTAACTATTAATAAGCCAAAAATTGTAGGATAGTACTTGAAAAACATGAGCTAGTTAAACTCTTCTGTCTTACTTCTTCATTGCAAAAAAATTAAGATATAAATTTCCTTTACATACATACATAGCTAGTAAAAATTAATACCAAATTCTATACAATTTCTGGAAACATCATTTCATTGGCAAACAGGGTTCAACCGACTCTCCCCTTTTTATTTTCATTGTAGAACACCCACTTATAACTCTAGCTAAGCATGAAATGAGTCATTTATAGGTATCAAATATGTACGTATTGAAATAAACTAATTTTATTTTGAAGTATTACGAAAGTCCTTAAAATTTCATAGAAGTTAGAATCGATTCATAATAAAAGCATGAAGCCACAGAATTAATATAGAAAGGATTTTTTTGCATAGTAATATTGCAACATGTGTTATATTTAGATCTCGGTGCTACATAAGGATAACATTCAGATCTTTCTCGGAAGCTGACACGAAATTAGCACATTTGTGCAGACATTTAACATGTACGTCATCAATATATGAGATGCATTTACGCATTTAAGTAGTGAATAGTCCACTCTCAATACACACTCAGTATAGTTTAAAATTTGTATGAATACACAACAAAATGCACATGTTTAACGTCATTCGATCCTCTTTGGAGACACGGTACTATTTATATATAGTATTTCGCACACATGTCGAACCAAAGTTTGTGGTATTAAGTTAGGGAAGTCGAACTAAAAACAATAATTATTCAATGAGGATAGTCAAAATATACTCGATATTTCTAGTTTCGGATGTCATATTACGAGTATTATGTTTTAACAGTAACAAAACATCAAACATTCAAGTTTAAACAGTTGGTTCAATTCACTCCTTGGCAATTCAATATACCAAATGTTTTTCATTGCTTTGTTAATGTTTTTTGCCCTAAACACACAATCATCTATCTCTCCCTGATTTTATATACATTGACGTTTGTTTGTTTATATTGTTATACTATCCACAAACGGTTAATAATATAACTATTAATAGATGAGAACGATTATGTCATTGGTAATGCATTCCCCGCTATCAGCTAGTCTTTATATTGACGTCAAATACCCACTAGCTGTAAAATTAACTGTAGAATATCCTCTTGCGTACGCAGAGCTGTCATCCTTCCATAAAATTAAACCGCAAAACAGTACATACGTCAAATTGAAGAGCTTTAAAATTCCAGATAATATGTGCATATAAGTTTACTATTAATTGAATAGAAATGATAATGGTGAAAGTTAGTGCCTACGTGCTAAGAGGACAGTAAATAGTATGAAGTATGACAACGAATATACATAATATTTACAACATTTTAAGCAGATGTTTTTATAACTCCTGGTACTTCCGTTGTTGTCAACAAATTGGAAATTCTTATCTCACCGCAGCCAATAAGAAAACCAATAACAAATGAAAAGTATTCGTTCTGATAAAATTGAAAGACTTTTATATGCAATAAAAACCGGATAAGACATCTTACTTGCTTTTTACTTTGTTTCAAAGTTCATCCACATTACTTCATTTTTGTTGCAAAGTAACGCAACTTGATAAGAATTTTCTACAATTATTTGAGTACCTTTTACATACAATTACAAAACAATGAACCTTTTATATCTGCACAAGATTAATAATTATTGTACATGACAATCAAGTAGTGTCTGCACAGAGTTCATAAAAACAAATATCTGTTCGAAATTCAAAAAAACATTTATTCTTCGCCAACCAGTAGACAATCTAGTAAACGTCTGCATAGAATTCATAAAAACAAATATCTGTTCGAAATTCAAAAATACATTATTGTTCTCCAACCAGTAGACAATCTAGTAAACGTCTGCATAGAATTCATAAAAACAAATATCTGTTCGAAATTCAAAAATCATTTATTCTTCTCCAACCAGTAACAGTTCCGATTCTGCTCGGTCTGGTGGCTGTGCTGGCTGCAGCTAGTGCTGTGGGCTACTTCGTGTACAAAAGTCGTCCGCCGCCCGTTCCGCTCACAGACCCAATGTACACAAACATCGGAGCCGAAGACTGCACCGGAGAGAACCCCTTGTATAAACCACCCACGTCCTCCTTCAAGAATCCCACGTACGGCAAGTGGTAGAGGTAAGATATGATTTAAATATTCTTGTGAAATGTAAGATAGAAATCTTTAGTTATGTTAAAATGGGTTATTTTTACGAGTTTTGTCTAATTGTGTACGAACTAACTGCTTTATTAGTTCTAGTATTTAATTCTATATTATATGTTTTTGGGGAAAAATTCTGCATTTCAATGTTAAAACTATATATGAGTAACAAACAATAAGGAAAATTTCATGGTATTCCCACTGTAACGACATTGATAAAATTATTGACAATATTTGCAATTGTGCAAACTATTGTATGAGCATAGACTGGTAAATAACTCTCAAGTATTAATTCATTCATTCATGAATATTCTCATTGCTTTTTTTACATAAATTTGTTATTACCATAAAGAACAATCAGAAAGGCTTTGTTTTTCTGGTATATTCTACCGTCGAGTAAAAAATACATGTAAAAACCTAGAGATTCGGTTCCAACGATCCAAATCATTTTAGTTACCAAGCTAGTTTCCAAATTCTAATTTCCTTCTAAATACTTCTCCATATAGATTTATATGTAAAATTTGTTAGCATATTTGTAGAAAATGGGGTCAAAAAATGTAAATAGTATTATTATTAAATAGAATATTTTAAATACAAACCGCGATAAAGAACCTTGCGACATGTCGGTCAGCGAACGTCAAACGGTAACGTGACGTCGAACATGTGAGGGTTCTACAATCATATAATATTATAATTACTTATCATTGAATACTACTGGAAAATATTACATAAACTTTGAATTGGGACAACCCTATTTCTGTTGTTGTCAACAATTGTTTAACAAAATCAACAGGTTCTAAAAAGCAGGTGTAACAATAATAATGATACGAAATACAATATTGATATGTGAATCATCAACAAGCTAACAAAGAACTAAGATATTTATCAGAAGTCACGTCCAAGACAATACAATAAACATACATACATACATACATAAAACAGTAGCGTATGTTATGACACTCAAACCGTTAGCCAGATGTCAACACCCTCCAAGGACAATCATCTGCATTACGAGGGAATTTTTTTCACACGCTGCATCCCGCTGTCAATGAACCTTTGTAACTGTTGATCGAAAAACCTGAACTATATGAGTTTAAAACGATCAGTTTAAAACTTACTGACTCCAGTTACTCTTAAATATAATTGATACTAGTTAGAATAAACCAACCATAACATTGTTGCTCTTAATCGAAAAACGTACAATAAAAAACATATTTTTTTCGGAAGGCAACAGTCAAATATAAGGAGCTAATTTAATACACATTCAAGTAAGTCCAAAGTAACCACCACCATGTTAAATAAACGAGCTTAAAGTCAAAATCATTCTACACTTAAAAAACTTCTGAGAAATGAAAAATGAGAGAAAGATATAAAGAATCATATTAAATTAACCTTTGTGTGTTCAATAAATCTTTTGTTAGAATAAAATTTATTGATACATAAATAAAAACAACGAAATATGGATGTTTAAGGGAATGACAAATTTTATCATAAATCTGTCTGAACATAAATTATTACCAACGTTTTTGTATAGAGCATTTAACTTGAACACAGATCTAACATATATTATATTCTAGAAAATAAATCATTTAAAATACATTCGCCACTTAAATTATACATCGTGATGAGTGGAATAATCATTATATTTCTTAATATAGAATCATTAGTTACATTATCTCTGTTATCTCATAAACATATGCTCAAACATTTCTTTAAACAGTTGTTTACAATATTAAATATCTTTTAAGGAAATACAACTTTACTTCCTTAGTTCAAAGACATTAACATTTTCTTATATTAATGTATAATAAAAAAGGTAAATAAAATCCGTAGTTCCGACTTTTGAATTAAAAATTAATATCCTTATAATCTGTACAAGGTGAACATGAAATTTATGTACACACTTCAAAGAATTCTTAAGCATACAGGTGTTGAAAAATGCTAATAAAATAAGAATTTAGACATTCCAAAAGTCATTTATCATTCACGTAAACAAACTTGACCATTTCTAAATGGAACCAACCTATTAAGATAATAGCATAAACGCTAATTGGATTTTTATCTCTTATCAGTTGCTCCTTCTATTTGACATTAACAGATGATGTAAACAGTTAAATTTAGATTCACACATGACAAATACAAATGACACGCTTTAATAAGAAAAAATAGAAACTTGTAATTCTTAATCTATAAAACTCATTGCGTGTCTTTCACTGACCTATATAAGACAGGTTGTGTGTCACGGATATCTCTTTAAGATTTATTTTCATTTGTATATGGAATATCATCGATTAATTTTTAAGAGCATATACAACAATATTATTGTCAGTAGTGGCGTAGTGGTTTAAAGGCCCGCTTATCATGCACGAGGGCGCGGGTTCGATCCTGGCCCGGGCAAGTACCAATGTGATTTTTCGGAGTCATATGTACTTGCTAAGAGTATTTTGACATCACTGATTAATGCATTCCCAAAGAGGGTTGATGTCTTTCAGGCGGCCTGTCGTTAAAAACAATTAGCCAAATCTATCACAACATGTAAGGCAGACCCTGGCTAAAGCTGGGAAATTGCCAGGCAGAAGAAAATACAAAATAAGCCCTTTCGTGTGACTCCATTATAGGAGGAAATACCTAAAAGACATACATCGTAAAGAAAATTTTTTTTGCTTCCCAATATAAAGTGTACCTATATATCATAATTATTACTATTAATTATGATCAAAGTGAAAGTCTTATAAAGATCGAACCCATTTAAATATCACTAGTACACAAAAGTTACTGTGAAAGTATCGTTGTTACAACAGAAACAAAATATCAAGGACCAAGGTTACTCAATGATAACACTATTTCACTGACCCACGCAACTGATGGTATTACGACTTCCTGCTTATGAATAATTCGGTCGTCTTCCTATCATAGAACTAATGTAAGAGGATGTGTTGAATAGAATTACATTTTAATATAAAGTAGCTAACTCAAATAATCACTGTCAATAAAAAGCATTAAAAAACCTATAATTTTAACATGCCTCGTTATTTTGAATGGCAATTTAAAACGTATTATGTTAACGGTCCACAGTCATATCTATTACGCCATCGTAGCTTATAATTTTATACAATTACGTATAAATTCAAATGAGAACAATCTGAACGGCATCTAAATGGTTCCTATAAACACCTGCTTAGATTATTATATTGATCTTTTATGCAATTTTTGTCCATTTATAAACAAAAGAAATCATAAAGATTTTATATGAAGCATTTGTTTGTGGCATGAATTACAATATTCCTCCCTAGATACTTCTAGTCAATGTAATAAACAGTTTTTCATTACATAAAATAATAGTGACTGGGAACAATTTTAACTATTCCAATATTGTGATGCTTGATAATTCAATTACAAGAAATATACAGTCGAATCAATTGATTAATATATAGCAAATATACGTAAAACAGACCACAAACTTCGCTTATAAATAACAGTCATTAATTATTGAACTTGCGACACTATCTTTTGACCATATAATTATTATTAACCAAGCATTCGAAGAAATAACATATTAGACTTATACATTCGTTCCAAATAGAATTATATTTAAATATTTGTATTAAACCGTATTGATTTCTAGTTCATTTGTAACGAAATTTTTATCTGTGTTAATTTTAAATCCTTTTGAGACGTGACCGTTTCATTAGATTAGATTGAAGGCCGGTTTCTGTAACCTTAGTTGACCTCTATCTTCGTCATCAACTTCTTTCTACACTCAACTAAAGCCTGAGGCGAAAATAGATGAATTTATTATCAAGAACACAATGCAATATGAACAAATGCATATTGAAAAGAAAATTAGTTTTTAATGTTCTCTAGCAATCGTGGTCACAATTTGACTTTCAATTTATAAAAATTGTAAGTCTTTTTTATGAAATAAATCATTATTTCTTTTTATATTGTGTTCGTGAATACTTAAATGATTTGTAACAAGTGTCTCACTATTGTTAAACCCAAAACTTGTTTACGACTTATAATTATAATACCGTCATCACTACGTGACATCATTGGATTTGTTTTAATTAATACGGAAAAGGGAACATTATTGTATTCTCAGAAATACGGTAGCGGTTTTCGTATTATTAAAAATATTCGTACATACTCGCAACTCAAATTGAATATATTGCAATACATAATGACAGTAAAGTTATCTCTTACACAATCACAATAAATTATTTCATTCGCTCGTGTAACTGTTTCCCGTTTAGATAACCGAGTGGAAGTACTTTCTCATATTAAAATGTACCAACTTGTTTGATATCTAAATGTACCCAAATAAATAATTAATTTCACCTAATAACCGTAAATTATTAGTCACTCAGTCTCCTACGTATCAAAGGAATAAGATTATACTGACATCGTCCTAGAAATTTCATTAAGGTGACTTTATCTCCGTCAGTGGACGCCAGTCATGACGGTATCTCATCTCATTACTTTTAAAACAACTCTTGTGTAATAAATCATGCGTAAGTATTCAAAATCAATCACACAAAGAGTCAATCTAACACATAATTAATAACAGGTTCCAGCGCTATAGGCTCTTATTGTAAAAGTCGCTCTAATTTAAAGAGAATAAAGTCTATATTCGAGTGATATCGTTCCAAGATAATAATATTGGCTATAAAGATCCGAAGCAGACAAACATTTACAAATTCAATCAAACAACTTGAGTCACCCGTCGACCGTGTTTACTTTCAATCGCTAATATCGTTTGTTACAGAATATTAAAATATTTATGTACAAAACTATTACAAATAACTACGGTCATTTGTTCTTCAAAGATCTTATTAGAATGTTTCGTATAAAAATCTGTTATAGGGATTTAAAAAAGTACCCTATTAAGTGTTTTATATTTTGGATATTTATTCGAATCGACCAATTTAAATAGAGCCTCGATTAACGATATAGTCAGGCTGATTTATCTCGATAAT